TGCCAAATAAAAGAGGTTTGAATATTTCTTTTTTTTTTTTGAAAACCGTGCCAGCTAATTAGTCAGAAATGTTTTTTGAAAATGAAAAATGGGGGCAGACAGATCATTTCATAGTCTTGGATGGTTTTACTATTTGAAGAAGTTTTCTGAACTAAGATGGACAGGTGCTTGAAATAAATGGTCATAAAACTCTGAAAAACAGGTCTTATGTTGTCAATTGAAGGTGCCCTTGGACTTCATGCAGCTGCAGCTGCCGGTTTCGATGATGTAGTTAGGATGCTGATAAGTAAGGGAACACATGTAGATACGATGACGAAGGTTTGCCTATAGTTGTGTCTAGTAATATCAATAAAACAATTCTGGAAGTTTGAAGTTGTAATAATCACCAAGGAAAGAGAAGAAATAATTTTAGTTTTCAAACTATTTTGGTAAAAAAAATTGTGGAAAAGCTTCATTTATTTAACCTTTAAAAAGTTTTCATTTATTCGAAAATTAGCACCAATTTTACATGAACTATTGCTTTTAATTCAAAGGAAAAGATTTCTGCAGCTAAACCTAAACTAATTAAATGTTTACAGGATAACTACACAGCGCTACATGTTGCAGTTCAGGCTGCAAAATCTGCTGTAGTAGAAACTCTCTTAGGGTTTGGAGCAGATGTTCATATTCGAGGTGGATCTATTGGTGAAACAGCATTACATATTGCAGCAGCATTAACTGCCGAAAAAGCTGTGGACTGTGTGATGATGCTTCTGAAAAGTGGTGCCCAACCGGATGTACCGAGAAACGATGGTGAAACTGCATTACATATTGCAGCCAGAAATCCAGACCCTAATATGATCAGAGTGTTGTTAAATGATGGGGCTGATCCGCGTTTAACTTCCAAAGTAAATTATTTATAAAAAAGTTTTTATAGTTGTTTAGTGGAAGCTAATGCTATCTATTTTCAGACCGGTGAGAGCGCCTTGCATATAGCAGCAAAAAGTTGTAATAGTGAGGCTGTGTCGTTAATCCTAAGCTATTTGTCAAACAAATTATCTGTTAGTGAAATCGAAGCATTTATTAACTCAAGAACTTTATCGGTAAGTTGAAAAACTTAAATTATGGCTGCTTTTCTATTACTGCAGACGATCTGCAGTGTCAAGATGATTTTTTACACCATTTTTGACTTTCAACTATTTTTTGCTCAAGCAAATCTAACAGTACAATTTTTGCTACGTAGCAGAATACATGGGTTCTATTATTTATACAATGATAATCGTCAAAGCTTGCTTCTCATAAAATTTTGATTTTTTGGAAGCCTCGTTTTTTGTTTCGTAACTTGACGAGTCTTATTCGGTTCCTGAATAATCCCGCAACAAACATCCCACTTGATAAGTTCTGTACGCATTATTTTAACCAGTATAATGGAAGTCTCTAAGAAATGTTTCCTCTAAATTTTTTGTTCAAATGACCGCTATCAAATATCTTAGGTAATTTCAACAAATCTTATTGATCAATTTTAGGATGGTTACACAGCAGTACATTATGCAGCAGAAATTAAACCGGAGCAAGTGCATATACCGGGTGAAGATTCTAAAATTATTAATCTTCTTATTGAACATGGAGGTCGAGCAGAAATACAGACACTTTCTGTAAGCATGCCAACCTTTCTAAATACTGCGATTTTTATAGCCTGAACGTTATTTCAGCTTTATTCAACATTATTTATGAATTCTTTTAGTCGAATGAAACAGCAATGCATCTGGCTGCTCGAGCAGGAAATGCCGCTGCGATACTATCAATGGTTGACAAACTGGGAGCCGGCACTGTGCAGATTGTACAGAACAAACTATCAAAGGTTTGTAGACGAATATAATAATTGATGAAATTTTATCTGTCGTACTCTGGAGATAAGATGTTGATCTGAACAATTTTTTTGAATAATGTTAACGGATTTGTCTATTTTTTTAGAACGGATGGTCACCATTGCTAGAAGCGTGTGCTCGGGGACATTTTGAAGTTGCAAAAGTTCTGCTGCAATGTAACGCTCGTATTGATGTTTTTGATGAAAATGGCCGTACAGCTTTACACCTGGCAGCTGCTAACGGTCATCTGCAAATCACCAGATTACTTCTTCAAAATAAAGCTTTTGTTAACAGGCAATAACATTTAGAATTTTTATGATAAAATTTAAAAATTGAGTCTTAATTCTGTTGGTAATAGATGGGATGCAGTTGCCGCTTTTGATCAAAAAATATATGTGTTCTTTAGAGTACAACAATTTTTAAAATTATTTGTATTAATGGCTAGAGCTATTATTGCCTGCTTTTTTATCGGTTACATACTTACAGTAAATCAAAAAATGGTGAAGCACCATTACATTTGGCTGCACAAAATGGTCATGTGAAAGTAGTAAACGTATTAGTGCAAGAACACGGAGCATCTCTGGAAGCAATAACTCTGGAAAATCAAACAGCTTTACATTTTGCTGCAAAAAGTGGACAATTTGTTGTAGCACAAGCTTTGTTACTTCTTGGTGCAAATCCGAATGCTAAGGATGACAAGGGTCAAACTCCACTTCATTTAGCTGCCGAAGTAAGCCTGATAACTGCTTTTGACTGTTATTATCATATCTTTTTTACAATTGTACTGAAATTTATTGATAACAGGGATGTAAGATACAGTTTAACTTTTAGAATGATTTCTCAGATGTTGTAAAATTATTTTTGAAAATGAAACAAAATCATCGCGCTGTATTAACGGCAGTTGATCAGAACGGATATACATGCGCTCATATTGCAGCAATGAAAGGTTCTTATGCTGTCGTTAAAGAACTGATGATGATTGACAAGGCTATGGTTATCAAGGTATACTGTATTAAAACTAGCTTCAAAACTTCAAGTCTGTTAAATAGTTATGTGTGAAGCTTTATTTTAGAAGAAGTATTTTAGGCAAAAACTAAATCATTGGAAGAAACAGCACTTCATATGGCTGCAGTTGGTGGCCATGCAAAAATCTGTAAAATTTTACTGGAAAATGGTGCTAATCCAGAAGAGGAAAATTCGGTATCTAATCCCTATTCATTTCCTATTGTTTTCAGAATCACATTTTTAAAGAAATACAATTGAACAAAAATATACATCTTTGTACAGTTGCCTCGAAAAGTTTAACTGCTTAATCGGCAAATGGCTGCTCTTCGAATTTTATCTACTTGATATTTTAAGCATGGAATGACTGCATTACAACTGGGAGCTAAACATGGATTTGTTTCTATTTTAGAAGTATTTGATCGATCTCTCTGGAAGAGATGTTCTCGAAAGGTTAACAGTGATTTTTATAAGCAAAATTATGTTAACAAATTTTATTGTTTTTAACTTGCTTAGCAGAATTTTCTTATCAAGCTGAAAGTTTTTAGACTGGGCTGAATGCGTTACACATTGCTGCGTTTTATGGAAATGCAGAATTTGTTATTGAAATGTTAAAACATATTCCTGCCAGTTCTAGATCTGAACCTCCAGTCTACAATCATTTTGTCGTCAAAGAATTCGCCACTGAAGTACATTCAATTTTTTGCCGTATACGTTGTTTAACAAAAGATACTTTGTATTTATCGTGCAAAAAACCCAAACAACTTTAAAACTATCAAAAAAAAGTTTTCTTAAATTTAAGTACTTTTGCTTGAACTGATTATTGCCATGAAACAATCAACTGATTCAGTTTATGAGCGCATTGAGGTTGCATCATTTGCACCGGTTAATACAGTAACGTCCGAACACTTTTTCGCTTCTCCAGTAATTTTTGGAAAAGTTACAGTACGGTTTAACGCCGCTGCATCTAGCTGCGCAGTCGGGACACGATGCTCTGGTAAGGATGTTGATCAACCAAGGCGTACAGGTAGACGCAACTTCCACTACTATGGTAGGTGTACTAACTGTCCATTTGCTGATATTAGAAATAGAATTCAGTTACAGAGATTCCGAGCCTAAACGAATTCTTTCTGCAAAAATAATTGATTGCTGAAGCAATTCTTTCAGAATGTAATCCCACTTCATTTGGCAGCCCAGCAAGGCCATATCGCCGTCGTTGGTATGCTTCTGTCTCGTTCAACTCAGCAACAACACGCCAAAGACTGGAGGGGTCGAACAGCCCTACATTTAGCAGCCATGAATGGACATTATGAGATGGTGTCTTTACTGATAGCTCAAGGATCAAATATTAACGTTATGGATCAGGTTGGATTTCTTCGTAATAAGTTCCTGTCAGTTATAATGCTTTTATGATGTAAAAATTTTCAAATATACTGCAGAATGGTTGGACCGGCATGCATTACGCAACCAAAGCTGGCCATAGTAATGTCGTAAAACTGTTTGTTAAGAGTTCAGCAGATCCACAAGCCGAAACAAAGGATGGCAAGGTTAGGGTTTCAAAATTTTTGTTTAAGAAGCGTTGTCACGCCTACAATATCAGTTTCAAACATAACGAAAAATGTTGGTATCATATTGGGGTTTCGGTTTATAGGTCCCTTTATGCTTCGCTGCGGCAAATAACCACATTGAGTGCCTTCGATTTCTGTTAAAACAAAAGCATGACACGCATGCTTTAATGGAAGATAAAAAGGTTAACTTGGTTAAAAAACGCTCAAATTGAGATTAAATGTTATAGTTTTTTCTATTCATAAGTATTATACTTTTGGACCAGAGTTACAATAACCTTTTTTTAGTTTATATTCGACTTAATGGTATGTGGTAAAGGAAATGACAATGAACCGTTGAGAGAGTTTATTTTACAAAGTCCAGCTCCTATTGATACCGCTGTCAAACTATCATCTTTATATCGAGGATTAAGTGAGAAGGAAAAAGTAATATGCTTGCTAAATCTACTGATGATGAAGATTTAATAGGATTTTTTTGTTGTCTTAAACTTTTCAGGAACGTACCCGAGATCTAGCAAATGTGTCTCAGTATGCTGAAAATATGGCAGTAGAATTACTTGGGATTGCTGCTACAGAATACAATCCGGCACAACTGCTGAAAGCTAAAGATGATCGTGGACGACAACTTCTTGATGTTCTCATTGAAAATGAACAGGTGCTTCTTCTTTTTGCCAAATTTACTGATTATCTTAATACATTTCGGTTAAATATTACATTTATTACTTGCCTTATATTAAGGGGTTCTGTGTACTCCTGGTTATTGTTAATTGTGTAACAGTTTTGTAATTCTTTCATTTTAATTATGCTTTTTTGTTTTTCAACTTTTAGAAAGAAGTGGTGTCTTACGCATCTGTACAGCGTTATTTAACAGAAATATGGAACGGTCGTGTAGAGTGGTCATCTGCTAAAACGGCTGCATTTACAAGCTTTGTCTTCTTATGTCCACCGGCTTGGGTTTACTTCTCATTACCGTTGAATACTCGTCTTGGTCGAGCACCTAGCATCAAATTTGTTTGTCACATCGGTGACTCTATTAACTCATTAAATTTTAACTTTATCTGTTAGATTGCACGGAGTTATTATCTAGCAATATCATTTCAGTAAAATCATTCTAACTGGAATATAATTTTTACAGTTTCCCACGTATATTTCACTATCTTGCTGACTATTGTTGTATTGAATTTGACTCATAAAATTTATGAAGTAACAAGTATTCTTCCTAATCCTGTGGAATGGGTATTACTTCTTTGGTTATCGGGCAATTTGGTGTCTGAATTGTCTAATGCTGGTGGAGGCTCTGGACTTGGTCTTGTCAAAGTTAGTTTTACTCGCTACTTTGGCAAATTTTAATTGTTTCAATGTTGTGGAAGATACTACTGCTAAAGCGACACTGTTTAGAGTGCCTGTTTGTAGAAACTGAATTTGGGTCGTTAAAGTAAAAAGCGGTTGAGGAAAGAAAATTTTTTTTAAATTTAGGTACTTATACTTATTCTAAGTGCGGCAGCAATTGCTATACATATATTGGCATTTCTGCTACCTGCTTTATTCATGCAACATTTGGACAACGATGAGCAACTTCATTTTGCTCGAACAATGCTTTATCTGAAAAACCAGCTGTTTGCTTTTGCTCTTTTGTTCGCTTTCGTTCAGTTTCTGGACTTTCTTACTGTGCACCATCTATTCGGGCCTTGGGCTATTATTATCAGGGATCTGATGTACGACCTTGCCAGGTTGGTTTCTAAGACCTTATGGTTGATAGTCTTAGATTAAATTTTTTAAAAAATTATCAGTTTATTACACCGCATGAATAGCAGGACCGATGTTTAATTTTTGAAATGATGGAACACAATTATATTTTTCAGATTTCTTGTAATCTTGGTACTTTTTATTGCTGGTTTTACGCTTCATGTCACCTCAATTTTTCAGGTTTTTTGAATCTATTATTTCATTTTTTATTTTTAAGTTATCTAAGATTCAATTTCCAAAAATTATCTCTTGAATTTGACATTTCTGTACTTTGAAACGGTTGAGGCTAAACTACAGAACAATAATAATTTTCAACGTAGGAAGAAAATAAGTATTACAGCCTGCGTATCAACCAGCTGATGAAGACAGTGCTGAACTGATGCGACTTTCATCTCCAAGTCAAACTTTGGAGATGCTATTCTTTTCGTTGTTTGGTTTAGTCGAACCGGATTCTATGCCACCGTTACATTTAGTTCCTGACTTTTCTAAAATTATCCTTAAACTTCTGTTTGGAGTTTATTTGCTTGTAACTTTAATTGTAAGTTACCTTTGCTATTTAGACTCACCTTTTGATTTTTTTTGATAATTTAGTAGACAGTAAGTAATGTTTTTGTGAAACAGTAGTCATTCTTTCTTGAAGGTGTTGATCAACCTTTTGATTGCTATGATGTCCGACACATATCAACGTATTCAAGCACAATCAGATACGGAATGGAAATTCGGGAGAGCAATCTTAATTCGACAGATGAATAAACGCTCTGCAACACCGGCGCCAATTAATATGCTTACAAAACTTTGGGCTGTGTTACTGGTGGCCTACAGAAACAAATGTAATTTTTCAAATGTAGTCCATTTAAAAAATAAATTAATTATTAAACTTTTTTCATTACTCTTACCTTGTTTTTAGTGCGTATATGTACACAAAAGGCTCAACAAGATTTGCGCTATGAGGAAGATATTGATGCATTTTCAATGAGTGACGAACTTGCAGGCCGGCTTAGCCCACTACCTAACCCAGATGGTATGACAGGAATATTTCGCATTTTTTAACAGTTAATAAGTACTTTACTTTTTGGATCTATCTAGATCGCTGTTACAGGTGTAAGAGGCACAGATGACTTTGGTGAGTCTAATATAAATTTGGACACTAGCATCCATTGGAAACGTATTGTTGATATGTACTACAGGATTAATGGATCTGTTGAAGTTGAAGACATTCAGGTGGAACTACCACAGGAGAAAGGCTAGAAAATAGGTTGAAGTAAGACTCGGTTTTGCATTAATTATGCTCAAATACGGCTATTTTCAGTAACAGTATCAGCATTTTGATAATAATTCTGATGGCGAAGGACCAAAATATTTTACATAAAAAAGAATCTCTTCTCTTTTTTGGTAAAAAAAACTTTAAGTCTGGTTCATACATTACATCAGTCCATAAATAGGATGGAAACGGCTTCATTTGTTCTTTTGTCATATCTGTTAACATGAAGTTGTTACTCTGAAATACTGTTTTGGTGTACTGCAACTGAAAATCTGGCACGTGCATTAGTTTTTTTGTGTTCAAAGGGTTTATAGGTTGCCTATGGTCTTTAGCCACAAATTGTCAGCGTTCTTCTCTCTCTAACTGTGTTGCCCGTTGTTTTCCGTTTTTGCTGCCCCAAAACTGTTACCTTTTTCATGATATCATTTTTCCTGATACTCATACTTCCTTTTTTTAGACCTTTCAAGCAGTGATTACTAATGCTGGACTATAGAGCTGACTAGCTTTACTCTGAAGCGTATTTGGTAGTTCTAACTTGTAAAGACTTGACTTTTTTGAACAAAACTATATGATAGTATCACAGAGATATGAGATGTAGAAAATTTGACGGCTATGCACGGCTTCATTTCTCGAGAATTTTAAGACAACTATTTGTACCGCCACTATCTCAGGATTTTCTTAGTTCAAAGGCCATACTAGTTTAATGTGTTACTGTGGGTTTTTTCTGTGGCAAAAACTTTTTGATAACACAGATGTTAAAAATGGCCATTCTTAGTTTTGATATTCTAGAATTTCAAGTTTTGAATAAGTGAAAGTTCTCGATACTATCATAAATTGTATTGATGAATTGTGTGATTGGAATTGTACTGCTCAGACTGCTCCGCAAACCCTTATACTGTTACAGTGATGATATTTGACGCACTTACCGGAACTTCATTCAAAGTACACCAAATTTTCATTTGGCTGTCATTCGTAATATATTTGCTCAACTTATTTGAATAGGATATCAGAAATATTGTTGCATATTTTTCGTGCTAAGCGTTGTATACTGTTGATGATTTTAGTAGCATCATGTAAATTGTTCAGTAGTATTTCACGAATAGTAATTTTTGTTATCTTAATACTTCTATACTACATTCCCTCGCTACGGCAAGTAAAATGGATTATTGCAGCATTTAATAAGTCTTTATTTTTGTATAAACTTCACATCAAGTTTTTGGGGTTGATAAAAGTTTGCTTATAATTGTTATCCATTTGTCAGCAGCAGTAACATTTGATTTTGCCAGACTGAGTTGGATAAAAATCGTCATTTAACGTCAAAATTACGAACTTTCAAACACTGAATGACGTACATATGACTAAGACACAAATAACTGTCATTAACACATTGTGATAAGACGGTCTTGATAACAGTTTTTTGCTTTTTTACTCAACTGATTTTATTATATTGAACAAATGCAGTAAAACAGTTTTTTGCTGTTCAGTATTCTTCTTAGTGCAATGGGTGTCGTTTTTTCGAGGTATAATTAAGCGTATTTCTTTCTTAGACACCCTAAATTATACAGTATTCTAGGAAATCTAAATGTATTACTTCACTTTTCACACTGTAATACTATGACTGTATAAAGATTTATTTGCACAAGAAATAAGTGTCCTTTTTTAGCCCTTTGACGGAGCAGTCAGGTCAGACTGAAGTCAGAATATTCAAAGATTGCGAAATTATAATAGGAAAAAAAATTGGAAGGTAAATTGGTTTTCCTGATTTTGTAAATTGAGAGAGGAACCAGACATGAATATG